TTCTTTATTTATAGTTTCTACGAATAGGGCTTGCATACAACGCCTGTTTCAGTTAGTCCAGTTCTTAAAACAGCGTGAATTTGGTTGCAATAGTAAAATATTTCACACGTTTTACTCTTTCTCTAATAGATGGTTGCATAACAATAATATCAAGGAGTTATCGTCTAATATTTTCAAGGATTTGGTCAGCTTAGATGATCTGTGAGTAAATACCTGCAAATCCATTATTTTATTTTCAAACTGAAGGGCCGTTTCCTTACTTGAAACGTCAAAGAAACTTAGATGCATTTAACTTCTCGGGCACTGGTGCGTCGTCTGGTCTAAAGACGGGTCTCATAACGGCAGACGTTTAAACAAAAAAAAAATTTTCTCAAAATACAGTGATTCTCCCCTGAAAATACTGGAAATAAAGTCGGGGTTAAATGCGTGTCAGTCAAGGCTGAGCTGTCCTGATATACACACGTGACAGAGGACGTTAAAGATGATTTCCAGTCTGTACTGCGCAGTCTCAGCACCCTGATGTTTTGTCTCACTCGATGGAATGCGAATCGATGTTATTCGATACAAACCACATACATAAATTATCTTTGAGGCCTTTCAAGTGATTTTTCCAACAGCTTCATTAATTTTTACAGCTGTGAAATTGTTTCATCAAGTGATATGAGAAAGAACGAAGCATATAGCTTCGCGTCAATAATGGCAGTTGACATGAAACTTTGAATTTACTTTATATAAGTAGTTGCAAAATGTTACATTTTATGAGGTCTTACATGTTTCAAAACAAAACAAATGTAAACAAACTCTCGAGAGTGCGCAGTACTGACTGGAAATCATCTTTTAACACGTCTGTTTTATTTAACTACTGTCGTTTATGTCTTCAAACTTAAAGCGCGCCTGTCTTAGCTTGTTCATTGTTTATACTTTAACGTCTTTTAGAATAAAAATAAAATTAAATAATTCGTACAGGTCTAAAGTAAGACGTTTTGTTCTGATAAAAGAGGAACGTTTTTTTGTATGATTGGTAAAACAGCCACCTTTTGTTTGGTTTGGTTGAATAAAAGCCGAGCAGTTAGCAATAATGTTTAAGGGGCCCATATATTCTCTGTAACAGCGTTCTCATGCATGCCCTTCAATTATACAACTCATTCGTGTAGTTTGAATATTAGAGCTATGGATCTTAAATTCTAAAGGCATTATATCTGTATCATTGACTTAAAAACAATTTGCTTTCGGACTGAATAATTTGAAGCTGAGTTTGGACCAGATAACAGCCAAGAAATTAATTATGCACGATATCCCATGCGTTCTCTGTGACAGCTGCTCATATACATATGCGCAGCTAGATACATGTTGTCTATATTAATCACTCGTACAGCTTGAAATCTGAAATTTTTATTTAGGGACCTATCTGGTAACGAACTACAGAGTTTGCCAGAAGGAGCTTTCGATGGACTTGCGAAGCTTCTGAAGCTGTAAGTAATTCACACTTTGAGTTACTTACATAATTCACCCATGAAATCTCCTTTTTGAGCATAGTTTCTATCCAGTTAAAAAATACAAGAAGAGTCAGAAAGGGTCCTAAATTTGAGAAGTATTAACCTATTACCAATAAATTATTAAGATTCTAATATTTCCAAAGGCAGGTCCTTTCTTCTTCCCGGTTCATCTGCCAAGCGAACAAGCATGGCATTATTTGCAATCCTTCAGAATTTCAACAAGGCAGTCATACCGTAAGGAAACGTCAAGAAATATGTCTGGCCTTCGGGGTCAACAACAGATATCATGATGTCGTATCAGATTTGATATTATGATGTCAGCGTGATATCATGAGATTATATGTCGACATCATGATACCAGGATTGGGCGCTTCTCGCGCAGAACAACTGTTTATCTTGAGACTTATTTTCTGTTTTACATACTCTACTTTTTTATAGGCTATTGGAAAAAAACCAGATTGAGAAGATGCCTGAAAAAGTGTTTGCAAAC